CCACTCTGCCAGTGGCAGCCCAGAGCACCCCACAAGCTTGTAATTTGGTCCCTAGTTATAAACAATGATACCTGGACAGCAGTGAGGTATTGCAGTGGCTGTTTTCTCTGAACAACAGCAATGAAGTTATAGATACAAGGATGAATCCAGTTTTCCTTCCCAGTTTATTCACAAGTAATAACTAATGTGCAACACAGGAAATACATTGCCCAGTCACAGGCAAGAAAGAACACAAAAGACTGGTGTGATGCCTTTTCCATTTAAGCTGAATTTGACACTGCTCCTTCTTCTACAAAGGTGGACAAGGATAGCTCCTCTGCCTTTGCAAAGTGATCCACCAGGTACCGTTTTACATGTGAGAAGACTATGTTGAGCAGAGACTTTATTTTTCATAAGTGATCAATTTTAAGATACTAATTTAGAAACTTTGCAGTACTTGATTCATATTTACTAAACAAGGCTATTAGAAGATTAAAACATTTTCAATTTCTGCAGAGAAGGGATTGGTGAGTTATGGTTCTGTTGCTTGCTCAGTGGAAGTCTACAGTCAATCTATAATCATGATTTGTAGACAGATTAGAGTCTATTTCTGTTACTCTTCATGTAACTTATGTATGAACCAGGTATGCTAAGCTTTGATGTAGCATCATGTTTTCAGTGGTGCCTGTACTTTTAATTATATTAACAGAGCTGGCAGTGTCTCTGTGAAAGAGAATGCAAGGGTTTTAATTAATCTGCAGTGCTGCTCCCCAAAGCTCTTCAGGTCAAGTGACTTTGCTCAAGGTCAAGCAGTAAATTCTGTTTGGGATTACAGCTTTGGATGTCCTTTTCCTTCCATTTTCTCTAATAGCTGGAGATAGTGCACCATATTTCATTCCATATTACATGCCTGCAGGGAGCTCATATTGGATTTTCTGAGACTAGTAGAATCCATCCTGTTGCCTCATATTTTTGTCATCATAAATGATATGTCTTTGCAAGTGGGTGTAAAGTTTCACAAAAGCTTTGTGGCCTGAGCCCTCTCAAGTGAGGGGGAATTTCATTCATTTTTCTGAGAGATGTTCATTTCGTTCATTTTTCTGAGACATGTTCAGTGACTCCTCAAAACACAACAACAGACAACACCAAAGGGATTGTGAGCAGGAAGCTACTGCAAGGCTGCACAGAAATGACTGTTATACCAAATAGAAAAGCAGCCTTTTCCACAGGACTCTGAATTCCTGAATACTCAGTGTGCCTGAGGCATTCAGCTTTGTGAGAGAATTAAGGTCAGAACATCTCAGTTACACGACAGAGAGCACACATTACATTAAAAAACCCCAAACAAACCAAAACCTCATAGCCACTATAACATTCACACAAGTATAATATGAGGATAATGATTTCTTAGCCCACAAGCCTGTCTATAGGCTTGATCCTCCTCCCACTAAAGTTAATGGAAACCTGGCTGCTGATTTCAGAGGCAGCAGGAATCAACCCTTTCCCAAACCAATTCCATTCTGTCACAGCTGAACTGTTATTATGGAGGGTGAGAAGTTCAGTAAGCAGGGCCATGTCCTGGTGGTAAAGAAATCACGGTAACACCCCGCCTGCCCTAAGAAATAATACTTCAGTGAAGTATTATATGAGTCAGAAGTATCACTCATGCCAAGGATACATCCAAGAGCGCCAAGATACCCTGGCAAGCATCCAGACTGAAACTCAGGTGAAAACTCTGGAAATCTGGACAAAAAAAAAAAAAAAAAAACATCTCTCAGAAAAATGAATGAAATTCCCCCTCACTTGAGAGGGCTCAGGCCACAAAGCTTTTGTGAAACTTTACACCCACTTGCAAAGACATATCATTTATGATGACAAAAATATGAGGCAACAGGATGGATTCTACTAGTCTCAGAAAATCCAATATGAGCTCCCTGCAGGCATGTAATATGGAATGAAATATGGTGCACTATCTCCAGCTATTAGAGAAAATGGAAGGAAAAGGACATCCAAAGCTGTAATCCCAAACAGAATTTACTGCTTGACCTTGAGCAAAGTCACTTGACCTGAAGAGCTTTGGGGAGCAGCACTGCAGATTAATTAAAACCCTTGCATTCTCTTTCACAGAGACACTGCCAGCTCTGTTAATATAATTAAAAGTACAGGCACCACTGAAAACATGATGCTACATCAAAGCTTAGCATACCTGGTTCATACATAAGTTACATGAAGAGTAACAGAAATAGACTCTAATCTGTCTACAAATCATGATTATAGATTGACTGTAGACTTCCACTGAGCAAGCAACAGAACCATAACTCACCAATCCCTTCTCTGCAGAAATTGAAAATGTTTTAATCTTCTAATAGCCTTGTTTAGTAAATATGAATCAAGTACTGCAAAGTTTCTAAATTAGTATCTTAAAATTGATCACTTATGAAAAATAAAGTCTCTGCTCAACATAGTCTTCTCACATGTAAAACGGTACCTGGTGGATCACTTTGCAAAGGCAGAGGAGCTATCCTTGTCCACCTTTGTAGAAGAAGGAGCAGTGTCAAATTCAGCTTAAATGGAAAAGGCATCACACCAGTCTTTTGTGTTCTTTCTTGCCTGTGACTGGGCAATGTATTTCCTGTGTTGCACATTAGTTATTACTTGTGAATAAACTGGGAAGGAAAACTGGATTCATCCTTGTATCTATAACTTCATTGCTGTTGTTCAGAGAAAACAGCCACTGCAATACCTCACTGCTGTCCAGGTATCATTGTTTATAACTAGGGACCAAATTACAAGCTTGTGGGGTGCTCTGGGCTGCCACTGGCAGAGTGGATGTCACAATCCTCACAAGACAGACAACCACAGGACTCACCTTGTTCTCATGAGCATGAGTCACACATGTCACCTGCACCTCCATCCCGTCTCCCAAAAACAAAGAGAACAAGGAACAGCCCTATGCATGCATACTAGGGAAGGGTAAATAGGAATAGCAGGCATGAACTAAGCACATCAAGGTAAAGACAAGACCCCCTTCCACTGCATAACTGCCTACAGACCAGGATAACTTTCTACACCTTCAAGCAGTGGCACTGCCAAGACTGTGACAGTGGCACGGGATGAAATGAGATACAGTTTCAGAATCAAGGCTGTCGTCAAGCTGGGTTTGGAGGTCAAATTCAGAGTCTGCATCCACACAAAATACATACTCATGCTCTTTCCCCTCATTTTTTGAGTTGTTGAAATTCAAACTAGATTAGCTTCACTTACAAAATTCTTACCATGTTGATTCAAACCCCAGCAAATCCTTTCTCTCTGGAAATCTAACATGGCATCAGAAGAGTCAATTCAGTCAGATTCAAGCCAGTTTCTCTTCCCAGAATTCAAGAAACAGATACAGGAGCAGAGGCTTTTCTCCAAGAGGGTTTATTTTACAGAAACATTATTTCTCAGCACTTACTTCTCCAAGATATATTATTCAGGATCCTCTGGAGCTGAACAGCATTTATTTCAGGATTCTGTGATATGGAAGAGATTTATTTTTTTTTTTTTAAGTATTAAATCACTTTTCTCCCTCTTTTGTTTTCCCAGCATGTCCCATCTTCATTCTCTGCTTCTCTGGCCCCAGTCCAGCCATGTGAAAATCAATAAAAAAGACTCCCTTTGAACATGACAAGATTCTCAGTCTGCAAGAGCTGCAGTCTGCTCTGGGCTAAGTTCTCAGGGCTCCAAACAGATCAATGTGGTAGTGCAGATTTACACTGAGTGAGAATCCAGACCATTAACCTTTCAGCCCTGGTACCATCTGTCCCATCAAGCACACTGTCAAGAGACCTGCTTCAAGTATTTCCCTTTTATCTTTTACAAACAAAAAAAGAGAGAAACTTTGGAATACTTCCTCCTCAAACTCTTCAAAGAAGAGACTTGCCCTCCTCCTTGTTACAATAAAGTTTACAGGTTTTTTAGAAACTGTGACATTTGTTTGTTTGGAGGATTTTTTTTCAAATGTCACTTTTCAAAAATAAAAGCCTGTTTCAGATCACTGAGGCATGCCAGGGTAACGTATTAAGAAATGGCAGTACTGCTCACCTCTGCGCGTACTTGGACCTCCTGACAGGAAAGGACCAGCATCTCGCAATATGTGGCAATTTCTAACGCGTCTGAAAGCCACACCATTTTCAAAATCTTAAACAAGTTGCAAAAAGTAAAAGCATTCCTTGTTTTTAACAACAGCTTCTGTCAAAATATTGCTATCAAGAATGCAAATGTGTTTTTGTGAAATCGTGTTTGCCAGGGTATGGTACTAAATAAAGGCAGCCACCTTTCCTGAAAGGTGAAACACTTGCATCCCTCACCTTAGGTAGTGGGATCCCTGAAGGTCAACTCCATTCCAAATCAGGCCAGAGAGATCATTAAAAAGAATCTTTCACAATAAGGATTGTTTTTCACTAAGAAAATTAGTGAAAAAAGCAGGTGATGGGACACCTGACACCTACTTCACTTCTCAAAGCAACTTAGCTGCCATCAAACTGTGATGAAGGATGTACACGTGTCAATATTTCAGGGTGTATTCTCTAGTAGGCAAGTTTCCCCAAATATGTAAGAACACCCTAAAGGATAAGATAGATCCACACAGCCCACCACTTTGATCGCAATACAGGCAATAGGAATTAACATTTAGAGAGAGCACGTGAGCCTGATCAGCTTCTGCAGTCCATTCTCCTGTTTCCCTGGCGCCCACAGCTGTTGGAAAAGGGATCTTAGAGGATACATCCCTGCCTAGTCCTTTAGTATATGCTTAGGGACCTGCTGGCCATTATTTTGCTAATACCTTTTGCGCCTGTTGATACTGTCACATCCACAATGTCCCGTGGCATTACGTTCCAGGCATTCACACTCTGTTGTGTAGACAAGTGTGCCTATCTCAATGCCAACATACTGCCAAATTTAGTGGTCAGATCTGCTGCATGGAATCAGCACTGTACACACAGTCCAACCTCCTGTTCCACACACTTCCACACCCAGACCTCCCTTGAACATTCACATGATTTTACTTTCAGAGAGCTACATAATAGCTCTGGAGAAATTTGGCAGCTCATGCACACACTTACCTGTGCAAAATGCTTTGTGAAGAAATCCTCCCAAATCTTGCCTTCATACCTATCAACAATTTCCTTTAAGATATCCAAAAAAAAAAAAAAAATCATTAACACAAGGAAGAAAAACACTGCCACCCAAGACAGTTACTAAAGATGCTTTCTCAGAACAGCACTCCCATTCTCTGCCCTTCCACCTTTTCCCCTCCACTGCAATCAATGCTACATTACTAACACAGACCACTGCTGAGATAGCTCTCCACCTCACAGAAATGCTATTTCTTAGAAATAAATGCTCAGATAACACTCTGGGGAGAAATATTTCCTCCCCACCAAGCTGTGCAGCAACAAAGCATGGGATTACTCCATGCCAGGAAGAGAGAGAAGGGTCTCTGTCCTCCTTCATATAAGAGAATAGAGGAGATGAAAGAAGAAATGCCCACGTTTACACCAGGGAAACAGATTATGCCATAAACTCGCTGGCACAAGTTGGAGATGTGCATGCACTGCCATTGAGATCAGTTATTTTGAAAATAAGCTATAGACTGGTGCATGGGAACAGTACTGCTCAGGTCCCATGATATCTTAAACTCTCAAAGCATGAAAGAAGCAGGAAGAAGTGCAAGAATGGGCCATGAGTCTCAAAAAAGCCATGAATAGGAAAGGCTATAGAGCAAGTAAAATGGCATCACTAAAAGAAGTTTGCAAAAAGGCAACTAACAAAGATGTCTAAAAATTTGCCCGTCCCCCACATTTGACTGCATCTGTCCACACAGTCCAACGGACTCTGCCTGTAAACCCAAGCTATCCTTTCAAAAGTGCTGCAGCACAAGCAAGCACTCATGTTCTCACTCAGCCTCTCCATAGGGCAGAGCAGCAGGAAAAGCACAACATTCTGAACCACAGACCTTCCACTTCTCACATATTCACTCACCTTAGAGAGGGTGAAACTGGTGTTCCCACCCATTTCCCTGGAGATGCAAAAAAGCAGACACATTAAGGAGTTATGCATTTGTCTCAACACAGGTGGCATCCCCCATCCCCAGATGGGGCCCCAACCCACCGTTGCAGCATATGTTTTTTTTTCCCTAGTCTTACAGCTGCAGTGAGTGAAGCCCTCATGGCCATACATCTCTCCAGGGGCAACTGGCATTTGAAGTCTCTAAAGCACTATTTCTGCAAAGCAACCATCCTAGTATCAACAGCAGGGTCTCCTGACAAACTGATGATACGTTAAAAATTGTTGTCCTTCTCCAGTCTCACATATGAGCAGGCTGCAAGAATCCCTTGTGGGGACCTAGCTCAACACTTCTTGAAAGGGTAAGGCCAAAATCAGTGCTTCAGCCACTGAGAATCCTAAGGTGGGGGAAATCCACTGCCAGCCTCTCCAAAATAGATTGTACTGCTTTTTCAGAGCAAAGCAGCATCTCACCGAAGAACATGCTTCCTGGAGAAGACCCGCAGGATGAACTCAGACTCTTGCTGAGGCTTCAGAGTGGATGGGACAATCACATAGACACCAGGCTCCAGGTGGAAGTCATGAGTCACCTCCCGCTCATCAAGGAAGACCTGATGCTTGTTCACAGGCTGATGTCGGGTAAAGAAAGCTGGAGGCAGCTTTCTGTTGCTTTCTTGGTACTGCTAAGGGAAAAAAAAACAAGAGAAATGTGTTCTGCACCAGCTGAATAAACAGACAAAAGGCTTGTGGAGAATTCACACCTCTGATTTTTTTTACAGTACAAGCAGATAACAGGGCCCAAAGGACTCAGTCTCATCCTAGGACATGGTGATTTTCACTATGCACTGCCCCTGCCCAATACTAATATGACAAAGAACAAGGCTTCCTGCAACCTTATCAACAATACAAAAGCACTTGCAAGGAACAGAAGCAAGGACTGGAGAGAAGAAGTGGCTCCTGTCAAAGCGGCTACTGCAAAAGCCACTACCATACTGGCAGAAATGTCTGCAGGCAGGACTACTCCAGAGACTGCTCTTCACTAGGCAGAACACCCCTCCTATCCCACAGGCACCATGCACTTTGTCCCCAGCTTTTGCACAAGGTAACTGGTTGCAGATGATTTTTCAGAGCCCCTGTGATCTGAGCATACTGCAGGAGCAACCTAATTCCTAGCCATGACTCCATGCATGTGTCCTTGATCTGCCTGGCACTCGTGGCTCTTATGTTTTGCTCTGGAGGCACTTCCTGCAATAGAAGGATGGATAAAGTGTTGACCCAGGCAACACTGAACTAATTTTTAATGCCACTGAATGTCCAGTACACAAGCCAAATAAATAATCCTGCTAGCTAAAATCACTGCCACCTTCTGATCTTGGCTGTTCCTCAAAACATTCAGCTGTTTTACTCTGCAGCCTCATAGGGGAGATGCTATTCTTCTTCCTTTGCCAGTATTTTTCTTACTAATAGAGCAATCTTTCTTCTGAAGGGTTCAGGGTTACTCCTCCTTATGACCCTTATGTTAAATTCCAAAGTTTTCATATTCCAGTCAATACTTTGTTGACCATAGTTCCAATACCTTAGATGCTCTCAGCCAGCCATCTCTCTGTATTGATCTTGGCAACCACTACAATCCCAAAATTAATGTCTTGTCTGCCACCATTCTCCCTCGGATGCGGCACAGCAGCATGCTAGGGCCACACTCAGACCCCCTCTACCAGGAAGCTTAACTCACTTGTAACCCTGATAATGCCCAAAATCTTTAAGTCAGGAAGGAGTAACATCTTACCTCATGGTTACCATGCCAGAAATACAGTAACTGGGGAACGCAATTGTGCTGCCCTGACCATACGCCAAAACTTTTCTTTGCTAGAATTCAAAGGGATTCTCATTTAAGAGGTATTCTGAGTGGTAACAGTGTGGAAGACAATCCCTTTCAAGATGAAATGAGCTAAACCTTTCCCTATTTTAAATAGCTCCCTGAGGTCAGGGCCAAAATTGGGACTTATATCAGGGTTACACTTCCAGGGACCTTCCTCAGGTCCCAAAGACTCTTGTCTAAAGAGAATGCTAGAAATATAGCTAGCCTGAGGAAGCTGAAAACACCTGTAGCATCAGCTCCAGAGCATCCCCAGCCAGTAAGGAACCTGATCTCCCTGGAGACCCCTGACTTGCATGGGGGACAGGCTGGGAGGCAGCAGAAAAATAGCTCTGGCTCCCCTGCGCACTGCAGTGAGTCCAGCTTAGACACAGCCAAGAACTGAGACACCATCCCACAACTGCAGCAGGGACAAAGTGCTGATTAGGTAAACACTGATGCCACTTCTAATACCTCTGAAGACCCAGTCAGAAACTGAACAACAAATACTCTGTTTTAAGACCACTGAGCCCTCCTGATATGGCTGCTTTTCAGAAGAGTCAGTGGATAGCTCTAAATTAATAGTGTCCTACGGGGGTGCCTCATGTAACTAAATACAGTTACCCGTCAGCCAAAGAACAAAGCCAAAGCCAAAGAACAAAGGCAAACACAACACCTTCAGTGTTGTCATAACAGCTGCACCAGTCCAGGTCCCTCAGCAAACAGCCAGCACAGTGACAAGGGACTCACCTGTAGGTCTATCTGCAGGAAGACAAGAAACAGAGCATCTGTCAGTCAGGGACATCTGGGTCTCACACAAGATAGCTGTATCATTGATGAGAAGCAGCTACATACATCCAGCTGGGGTCTTTGCCTTCAGAAATCTCAGCCCCTCCACCTGAAAAGCCTTCCCCACAGCCATTTCTCTATAACTGTGCAAACTCACAGCAGCAACAAGAGCTGTGGCTCTGTTCAAGGGAGGAGAGTGGCTCTGAAAGGCACTCAGATAAGCAGAGACTTGAGAGGGGAAACTCTCACTCCTAGTGATTTCCACTTACCCCTGTATACACAGGGAACTAGCAGTATTCATACATAGGCAGCTGCCACATCATACTAGAAATACTTCTCAAGCACGATTTTACCACAGTTGGAAATAACCCGAGGGAAGTGCTCTCCCTGCCCCAAGGTAAGGGGATTCCTGGCACCCTCTCCCAGCTCTTGCACATATTCTCAGAGAGGGCAAAATAAAGCCCAGTGTGCTCTGAAGCAAGAGGCATTTCTCACTGCTCTGCAGGCTGACATACAGCATACCATGCGGTAGGCTGGAACTTCCTGGCATGTGAGAAAACTGAGCACAGGCAAAGAGAAAAGAGCACAGATCACCCTGTGCACAACAAAACTATTGGTCTGCAAAGCTCTACAATTTACAGGGGCTAGAAGTTCTCCTATTTGGTGAAAGCAAGAAAGGCAAAGCAATTCTTCACACCTTGTAGAGTAAAAATCCAATGAAGTGGTGAGGAGCTCGATTCCGGTGTTTGCTGCTGTGTTTCTGCATCAGGGATATAACCACATTGCAGGACACCAGGTTTTTCTTACTATCTTCAATGGGTAAAACATTCAGCCAGTACTGAGGGTTCATCCAGAAGGTACCTAAGCAAAACAAGAAAAATATTTTGATGTTATTTTCCATTACAAAGTGGGTTGCCAACTTCCCACATGATGCCTGGCATCAGACTGTGGTCATTGGCTTTTTGGACCTCCAGACCCCACAAGGATTTGATCTTACAGAATCACAGAATCAGCTAGGTTGGAAAGGACCTTGAAGATCATCTAGTCCAACCATTAACATAGCACTGACAGTTCCCAACTACACCAGATCCTTCAGCACTATGTCGACCCAACTCTTAAACACTTCCAGAGATGGGGACTCCACCACCTCCCTGGGCAACCCATTCCAAAACCTAACAGTGCAGTTTACAAGTTTAGCAGTGTAACCACTATGTAAGACATAGTGAAGGCCCAGGAACCAGAGAACTACATTTCCACTCACTTGCAACTAAAGGCTCGTTTTGTTTATAAACGTATCACTATTGCTCCATCACCTCTGGCATAAGAGCTAGCGGACTTCAGACCCCACCTGCTCTGCTTCCAGAATAGCTGAGTCTCTGCATTTCCCATTCACTTTACTTAAAATACCACTCTCTGGAGGTGCTAAGTATGCACATTTTAACAGTCAGGTTTAATGCCCCAAGGAAGCTCAGTGCTGGCAATTGATCCTAGGATTCTGCAGCTCATTTCATGACATAACCAGCCCATTGCCCCATGTTTGCAATTAATGCAGCTTCTGTGGTAGCAGAAGCTACTCAAAGCTCTTCAGCTGCTTATTTCTGATGCTTGTGTGGTGGATTATGCAGGAAGAGCATGTTTCTGTTGTCAATTTTGTGTTAACAGGTATGAGGTGCTGGTAACTGAGTCAGCAGAGCAGCGTTACCCCAGAGTCATCCAAAAGAGCACCCCTCACCATTACAGAATCCCAGACTTCCTCCTGCTGTGCTTCCTTTAACCCATCTCCCACTCTTCAGGGAGTACATCCACTTTTTCCCATCTTCCTGGCTCATCAGGTCTGGAGTTAATTTACAGATCATCAGATCTAGAAAATGAATCTTAAAATCTTGCAGAGACATCCTGGGAAAAGAGTGCCAAGAGACATCTTGTCAGCAGTTTAGTTTAGTCCATATGGCTTATAAAAAGAAAAGGAAAGGGAGCAGGGAACTTCGAAGCTGCAGCATTCTGTGTTACATATGGTAATGCTCATATTTTATTAGGCAGTAAAGAAGAGAGCGTCTGTTCCAACAGCAGCATCTAGCAGTAGCAAATGCACGACTAAAATTTCAGTAAAGGATAGCAGCAGAGATTAAACCGCAGTGAAATTACATGGGCGACAACATTGCCACCTCGTGGCAGAAGCCGTGGAGAAACCACGAACAAACCAAGCAAGAGCTTCCCAAAGCTATGAAAGGTGGGACAAGAGCTCTTGAGAGCTGCCCATGTCTCCAGCAGCCCTGGGAGACCTGGCAGCATCCTGCTTCTTCCTTTGAAGAACAGCGCATCTCTTCTGTGTCAGCAGGGCTACAACTTCTCACATCCCCAAACAGAGGAGCAGAGCAAGCAAGCAAGCCTGGGCTTTTATAAAGCAGATGACATGTTTCAACCTAAGTGACAATGTGCTGCTTCATCTCCAGACTCAGCCCCAAAGCTACTGGCAGAGAGGGGAGAAGTAAGACTGAGCCATTACCAGAATTCTCCATCCTCCTTCTTTTTCCTCAGCAAAATCTTCTCCTTTGGGCTCAGCAGCTCCCATTTGCAAGAGCTAAGGGCAAAAACATGAGGTGACTAACCAAATGTGGCCTCAAATTCAAGGCAGAGTACATAGCTTTCCTGTATAAAAAGATGCCAAATCCCTGTCCTCACATATCTCCATATTTACTCCCCACTAAACACAGGCCCCCTATGCCTTCAGCCATGGGAGACTCTCCAGAAGCACTCTGAGTCCTACGAGATGTAGCTAAAAGGCTCCAGTTTTCTCCAGCAGAAGCCAGAAATGCTCCATTTCCATCAGCCAGTCCGTTCACTTGCACACACAGCTTCCAAAAGTACTTAAAATATAAAAATCTAGACCTGTTTTGTTGGTTAATTTTCTATCAAAGGAGACATAATAGGAAGAGTGTTTGGCATAATGAATGAATGACTAGGACAGCACAAGAGGCAGCTGGGAGTCGTTTAAAAGGCAGGCCTACAGTATGTTGCTCATTATGCTCTTCAACAGAGCAGCTGGTATGTTGTCATTATGTGATAGACACGCATCAGAGAAGTTACTGCTCTGCAGACAAGGTGAATGTCACTCACATTTCCAACACCTCCCTGTGCTCTTTCCTCCTCCCTACCCCCAAGCCTTAGCAAACAGGGTCTGTGCAGGGAATGACGTGAAGCTTAGAAGGAAGGCACATGCTCCGCTTCATATTGGAATAGGACACAAGTCTATGTTTGCCTGTGGTCTAGAATGCAAACCACTGTCTTTCATGGATCTCAATCAAAAAATTCAGGCAGATGCAAACGTGGGGCCCATTTGCCTCCCTAGTTTCTTCCTTTGATCTCATACCCAATTGCATTTCCCCAACCAGCCAGGACAGAGGACTCCTTCACAGCTGCCCAACTCCAACACTTCACAGCCTGTGGAGGACTTTGCAAGGTCCCTCCTGTAATAAAGGACTGTGTGCCCTGAAACATGCTGTTTGTTTAGAGCCTCCTGCACAGCTATCTGTCACTTCACGTGCCATTCAGATCACAGCAACATGGTCAGCGTCTGATGTTCATATTACGTTTCCTCTGGCATTCAGTGAATGGAAAAGCAGAACTGAGCTTGTTGAAGCTGCATGTGTGAAGTGAGCCCAACCACGTGAGCACTATCTGCTGGAGAAATACATATCTATTGAGTCTTTGACGCCAGAGGGGCTGTGCAGGCAACTACTTATCTTAATGATGCTGTCAGCACTAATTCATGCCTGAAGATGGCAGCATATTTCCTCCAAGAAACCTTTCCTCACACTCAGCATCAGGCCTTCCCTTTTTTTTTAAACTCACCTGTCACTCCAGTCTCCTTTCCATTCAATTTTTCCCCAGGGATTTCTCAGTCTCACTAGGTTTTCTGGTCCATATTGACAGGTCACCTGCAGAAAACGGTAACACTGTGCTTACCAAGGTCTCAGCAGTTCTCATCCAGTTTACATCACTGTATTATGTCAGATACTCACAAAGATTTTGTTTGTCCTCATAGATGCCAGCAAGTATGATGATAAAAATCTATGAACATGCAACTCTGAATGCCAGCACAAAGAGATTAAGATTTTTACCTTCTGTAACTAAAACCAGTGGCCTCACAGATTCCTAATTTGAAGGCTTGATGGTAAATTCCTCTTCCTTTCCAACATCTGCTCATTTTGTGGTTATGTAGGGGCAGAACTGTACTACTGTGAAAGCTAAGTCCTGTCCAGTGCAGTGGCACAGCACAATGCAGCCCATGGGGTGACCTGAATTGAGATGCCATGTGGGAGAAAGAGGGAGTCGGACTGACTAGGGGCTTTGTTGGCACCATGCAGTAGAATGGCTGACTTCACACCAGCTCCGCATGCTCACTCAGCCCTTTACTTCTGCCTGGCTCTTCATCCCACCAGAAGAGCCAGACTGACAGACATGTGACTGATAAAGTTCACACCTAAAACCCTCCTGCTATGTGTGGGAGATGCAGACATGCATCATGCAGCTCATAGTATCCCTTCCAGCTTTCCTAGTATCTCTTGCTAGACATACTGAACATGCTTTCACCCACATCTATATCATATGTCCAAAGCCCCACAAAGACCTTTGCCACCCTTGTCAACCTCCTTTTGTGGCTGAACAAGATAGTCATCCATCAATCCAGGAAGAGAAAGGTCAAGCTTCCTCCCACTCTTTGGGACCTATTATTTTACTGTCCTTTACCTCTAGACAAATATCTTCAGGGAACTGCCAGTGATACTTCCACAGATCAGTGGAATCCACTGCAGATCAGCGGGGTTTTCACGTTTCGGTCCTTGTATTCAATTATCTTTACTTCTCTATGGCCTCTCCTCTGACTTCAGAGGAAGGCTTTTCACCCCAAGTAGGTTTCAACACATCCTCCAAGCATCCCCAAAGGCCAGTACTTTCGTTCTTAACAGCTAAGATGCATTTGTAGGTGATACTCTCAGCAGAGCGCTGTGAATCATTCCCACCCTCAGAAATATACTGATCTATAACCATTGTCCTTTATGTCAAGGTCATGATACTAAAATGGACACACTTGAAAGTGAATTTTTACAAAGCATACATTGTCTTTTAGTCTTAGAGTAGGAGAAGAGCATTGGGGGAGAAGATACCATAGTTGCCCTGATTAAGGGTTGAACCTATGACTGCAATAAAAATTGCTGACATCCAAACAAACCTGGACCCAGGACTTTAGGGCTACTCTTACCTTTCTAATACCAGTTACTGTATAGGCATGGCCAGCAACAAGCCCATTCTTCAGGACCTTTGTTGACTGTATACAAGGAAGAAAAACAAAAGGAAAATAAACCTTTTAGTCTATCCCTACTTACACAGCAGACTTGTACCAGTACCAGAGACCTGTACCCGTGTAAGCAATGACTCTCAATGCAAATGGAGAATAGTTTGAACTGTAAATCTAAGATCCTAACAGCTATATTTTGCAGTATGTTTGGAACTGGAAGGTTGATTGGAAAGGTCCCTTCCTAAATTGTGAATCTTTGGCTAGAGACCATCTCACTTTTTAAAAGTCCAGAAGGTAAGGTTTTGATTTTCAGAACAGTAGGGTTTCCCAACAGCTAAAGTGTTGGCACATGGCTTGGAAGCCAAGATTTGAATTAATGTTCTGAACTAGACACTTCTCTATCTTAGCTATAAGTTTATTCCATGAGTCTCCGTGCCTCACTGCACCACCTTCAAAAATGGAAAATTTTTTTAACAAAAATGAGAAAATGCTGTAGGTCCTTACTTAATAGAGGTTCTCCAATAGATAAGCCTGTTCCTAAACATCACAACAGGGAGCTGAGAGCTGCAGAGAATCAATCCATGTGTAAACTTTAAGAATGAGATTTCTACAGAAGCCACATGTGGCAGCTTTGGTATTTTCTGAGTCACAATGACTAGCTGAGCAGAGGGAAACAGGTCTAGAAAGGCTTTTAGCTGTGAAGCCATTTGATGTCACTCCAAGTCTCACCCCTAAATGTGTCTGACAGCCCATGAGAGATCTGCTGTAGGTTGCTCTTGTCAGGATATCCCACAGATCAGGAGGAGCTGCTGCAAGCTTGATCCTTATATTAACACCACCTGTAAAATCCACCAAAGCTTCTGAAACTTGCCCGATCTGCAGATCTTCATAGGAGCCATAGAGTCTAGCAAAAAAGACATCAATATATTCTTGGGGTTATAGTCACAGATGATAGGTTAAGGAGGCTGTAACTCATGTTTATTTTAGGGGAAACTTTCTCATTTAGGAAGAGAGAAATCTGGCAAACTTCCTCCAAGATTGGCCATAGTCTGAAAGGGACTCCACTCACTATCATTCCTCTGTTGTACAGTAGTGAGAACCTGCCCATGCTTCTTTGATAACTCTGCCTTAGCAAGTGATGTCTGAATATAACACCAGAAAATAATAAAGTGCCTTGAGTGGCATGTTGTGCCTTGAGAGTTCAGTCTCCAGTATGATCTTCTTCACCACTGCTGAACAACTTTCTGAGCTCTTTCTGTTCTAATGATAACCTCAAACGAAAATAACTGAACTTTTTCTCCCTTGCTGTGATCTTTTTCTCACTGTTAACTAGAATTTTTCCTTGCTCCGCAGAGATTATTTCAGCCCAAAACTAACAAACTCCAACAGTTAGGCCTTGTTGCCTTTTTCTTAGTCCTGATGAACCGCTCTAGACAAAACACCCTGGAGACAAGCCAGTATTCTCATCGTGTCATGTGACTTGTTGAATGCCTCAGCTCTGGGGGACCCAAGAGCAGGAACTCCTACCAAAACCAAAGTATGATTCTTCAGCAGACCCCCAAAGTGAAACTTATTGGAGATTTCTCAAATTGATAATACATCAAAGGAAGCATGGGGAATCATTCACCTTTGAAAATCCCTATCTCTGGCCTTCTGCTCCTCTGTGGTGTTTACAAGGAAAGCATCCCCCTAGCCAATACACTCCAAACAATGATAACACTCAGAGGACAACTCCCCAGGATAGGTCTGTTTTCACACTTACTCCTAAATTCTTGGATCTAAACTCAAGGGCCTGAATTGATCACAGCTACTGCAGTAGCAGCTTCTACTGTGTAATAATAGAAAGATGAGAACCATTTACTGCACTCCAAAAGTGGCAAGGACTAGGAGATGCATTTATAAACAAGAACAAACTGCGTAGGCACCAAGCAACATATTTTAGAGAGGCTATTTACATAACTTGTAGTGAGTCACTTACTTAGCATACGCCTTCTCCAGAAGGGCTCCCCAGAACACGTTCTTATAGACTGAGGAAACAAAGACCAGCTCTCCTGCCTCATTCACCGGCAGACGATCATCAACCACCACATCAACCCATTCACCGAAGTGCCAGAACTGTCAGGGAAAAGGAATGAGCTGATGTTTCCCTTGAAAGGGACCTCCCCTTTAAACAACAGGAAAGGCAAGATAGCTTAGCTGTGGGCACAAAATGAACTGCCCTGAAGAGAGAGCTGCTTTGGATCAGCGAGCCATGCTGGCTCACCCACAGAACCAAATCCTCTCCCTCACCCTGCCAGAAGAGAAAACAGAGCATGTATCAGGTGTAAAAGGATTAAACAGGGAAATGAGGCACAGCTGGTCTTCTGGGGAAGGAGTTCCTAACTGCAGGGATAGCAGAGTTGCATCAAGAGCAGACGTGCTCCAGACCTACTGACAATATAGGAAAAGATTTTTGTCTGGATTAAAATGTGGGTAGGACACAGCTGGAGAAGAGGGCCAAGCAGAGGTATATCCTCAGAGTGGCTTGCAGTTGATTCACTGCCTGCATTGCTTTGTGGGAGGGGTGATGGGCTACTCGCCAGGCTGGGATACTCTTTGGCCACTTGCCCCTGGCCAAGAGGAACCATGTACAAATTATTTAAGGGTGTGACACAAAACATGACAGGGGATTTCTGAAAACCTCCTGCACTTTGGGGGAGCAGATGTACCCGGAAGTGGAAAATGCCAGCGTATTTCCTGTCAAAGCTCTGGTTTTGTGGCACGACTGCAGCCAAGATGTCCTGGTGGAATGTCAGGGCTTCCAGGGCCGCCAGGAACCAGCAGTTCTCTGCGCCAAGACAAATGGACACATGCAGTTGGCTGAGAAGCAAGAGTTGTCAGCCAAGTTCAGGAACACCACCAAGATCCTAGCAAAAGAGCTGTTGTGCTGATGTCTTTACAATTATAACAAATCATACACAGAAAATAAGACAATCCTGATGTATGCTTTATTTAACCAAAACATCATTGGCTTATAATTGTTCTTTCATGATCTTTTCATTTGGATACCATTTGGTTAAATAAGAAATTTAGCAAGAAATAGCTCTCAGTGGAAACATTCCATCGTTTTACTGATATTGCATGGTGTTTTTTTTTTTTTTTTGTTCTCTGTAAAGGCACACTGTTAAAAGAAACTTTTCCCTTTTTCTTTGAAAACATTAACTTGTCAGAAAAGAAAAATAATTTCCAATGGATCTCACGTGCAAGACTGTACTTCTCAGACTTTGTGTTTAAGGGCTTAAAGCACTTCAAAATTAATTTAGTCCTTCCCCTTCCTGCTTTACAGATTACAATATAACCTTTTACTTTAGCTAACACAAATGAAAAAATTATTTTTCTAACTGCAAAGCTGGGAATAGGATGCACTCACAGCAAGCCTTAGGTACAAAGATAGCAAAAGTCTGATTTTCCTTCTTCTGTGGTCTCTCTTCAATTGTCAAGCAGCAACATTGCAGACTAGTAAGCACACAGGATCTCTTCGTATTGCACCACTAGCATGCACAGAAGCAATACAGAATAGTGGTTTCAGCTTGTGGAGATACTTCTCACCCCTCAAATACCACCTTGAAGCTTGCTAGGTTTTTTACTGAGCCTATCCCACCTTAATGATTGCTTCATCCACACCATGCGAAGTGAAGAGATAAGAATATGCACACCTTCTATTTTGTATGCCAAGCTTTATATAGTCAAAATTCCACACAAAATGCTATCTTGTATAAGAATACTGAGATATTTATACAAAGGAGTTTCCTTACCCACCAATCCTTGGCAGAGATCAAGTTGTTTTCTGTTTGCAGCATAAAATACAGGACTTCTGTGCAAAGCCTGGGAAGCAGACAACCAAAAAGAAAAGAGGGAGAGAGTGAAGTCAGTAACGTGAACTTGTTTAGCTTCATGTCAAGGACTTTCTGCCTCCAGAGCTGCAATCTCATAAGATGGGAAATACAGTGAGTTCTTGAATGTAAAAACCTCATGGATATGTGACCCAAAACACTTCTTCTACCTGTTCAAAGCTTTCAGAATACTTAGGATCCCTTTGTCCCAGCAGACATTGTTCTGGTTCAGGTATAGCTTTAGTGTTACCATGTGCTGTGACTAATCTGACACAAGCCTGGGCACACATTTGTGTTTGGTCTACATTGAATTTGGTCTCTGACATAAGCCACCGGTGCTCACTGAGAAAACAACCCTTCAGGCCTGTCAGTCCTACTCCTCTGTAATTGCTGACAGGTTTCAGCCAAAAGAGTCTACAATAGCAGAGCATAACTGTTCAGACTTTCAGCTACCCCGGCTGACATCACAATTGGAATGACATTCGAGCTACACACTAACTGATGGCTGCTACAGAAGTTCCTGTTGCTGTGAGGAGTGAGTCTGTGAATAATTTTTCAGAGAGAAATAATGTTGTTATTTTTCTCCTCTCACAACTGTCTCTGGGGTCAAATTAACAAGCTAAGTGTCAAATTTAGGATTCACTCTAATGACCCACAAATTACTCTAGCTAATTTTCACACTGTTGGCTTCCGCTTTAGGCAGTAGCAGAGAAACAGCAAACCCTCAGAAGGCAGTTACAGTAATTAGACCCCAACCCCTATCCTTGGTGAATTTGGGTGTTCAGTTTGCAGGCCATCAGTCAGAAATGCAGCAAGCTACAAGCCTGCAGGCTGAATGGCAGAATTTCAGCATTTCCTCTGCAGCACAAGGGACTGAAGGATGCATAGCATCCATCCTCATAAAGCCTGTGCCGGGCTAAGTTTGGCATTCAGAGCAAATGGCAGCCTTCTTCACAAGGTAGTTTTAGAGCAGCAGAACAGTGGACTGTGAGACAGAGGAGGTTTCAAGTCCATTCCAATATCTCTGGGATGGAGGGGCACCTGAAGGCCTTTGTAGAGAAGAGGACTCATGTTGACCTTTCCCTCCCAAATACCTCTATGCTGATATAGCTGCCTCAGCTGCAGTGTCAGGCACAACCCAGCTCAGGCCCTTGAGAACCACACTCTTCCTCCACCTGCAGATCATGACTTAACACAAACCATCTGCGAGGCTGAATTACATATGAAACTCTTGAGAACGAGGGCTGCTGTTCCCAAGCTCTCTTGCTGGCTTTATAAAGGTGCCTCTACTTTCCCAGCGATTTTCATGAGTTCTGCAGAAACTCAGCCCTTCTATGAAATCAGTTAAATCTGACAAAATATGACAGCTAGAAAATAACTCAGCTAGGAGATGCTATCTGCTATTACCTGGCAGAATTCCCTTACAGACGTGGTAACATAAGGAGTCAGTGCTACTGAAATTCTCAGATAATTCTATATATTGCTTTCAGGAAAATCTGATTGTCAGTACATTGCTCAGTGGCTTAGTAAAAACAGAACTTGCACTGCTAGTAACAGGCCTTACCGAGCTGTGTCAGTGCTCTGACCTGGCTTCCTGGGCTTGTTATTTCACCATTTGTTATGAGAACTTGCTCTGTGACCAGCCCTTGCAACCTTATTGTATCTTATGGGATAGCAGCAAAGGGCTTGGAAATATGGGCACAAGTAGAAAACAGAGGACCCAGAACTAAAAACATCTCACAGACTGATAGTTACTGGTGGTGGCAGAAGCCTAACCTTGAGAGACAGTCAGGAAAAGACTGCTCTAAGTACAGTAAACAGTTAAACAGGAAAAAAACAGCCCAGTAGGAAGATAAGGCACCTGCCACTGCTGGCAAAAGTAGCAGACTCCAACATCACAACGGTATGTGGTCTATGGTTGAGGGGTCAAAGGCTAAGAACTCTCTAAAAGCTCAGAAATCTGAAAGGTTAAGATCTTGAATTGTGGAGAGAGGGATCATCGCCATGAGAACTGCCATCATGGAATCGCAGTGGGATCATCAGAACTGTGAGCTCCAAGGACACTGGCTCCCCCCACTGCCTTTCCCTGCTCTCCCTGCCTGCCCCAAGTGTTACTGGATATAAACTGAAAAAGGCTGGTTATGATTTTGGGCAACAAATGCTTCAACTCCATGTACCCCAGCTTCAAAAATTATAGCTGACACAATAAGTGTGATCTCTAGATGCATTAAGGCACACCTAAATTAAAGTCTAAGAGTAGTCTTCCCAGTTCTAACATATTTGCTGGCTACCAGCTACACTCATCCTCTTACATGAGATTATTCACTGAAAGTCACTTACATGTGGCCTCTTCCATTGTAAATTTCGGGGTAGTTTCTTTAGCAGCGCTCCTGTTCCAATAGAGCTGATGTGAGCAGGGAAGCTGTCATCTGTGAACAGGCATTTGTTCTTCAAGCACATCTCCAGCAAGGCCTGGTAGTTCTGCTGGATGGGTGGGGTGTGTTTTTGAAAGATGCTCCTGCCTAAAGGCACAGGTAATTTCTTTTTTTTCAGGCAGGGCAGAAAAGACATGGTGATGTTCGCAGTATGCCTGGGTAATTTTTTTCCACTGAGGATTCTGCACAGTCCTGCTGGAAACCCCTTGTTTCTTAGGATGAGGTGTGTCTTCTCTGGAACAATTCCTGATCATTAAAATAAGTGTAAAAAGTCAATTTAATCATAGATTTTTAAATTTTCTCTCTGGCTAGCGAGGAGGGTGGGTGTGGGTGGCACTCCTGGGAGAAGTAGGGGACCCATCCAATCCAGCACCTATCATTGCGTTTTCAAGACTTTATATTTGCTGTAGATCTGTAGATCTGAACGAAGTCAAAATGAGTGACCCCATTGACTTTTACTGAGGCTTTGAAGCCATTGACACAGCTATTCTCAGTCTCCCTCTGGACTATTTAGTCTCTCCAGGATATTTTCATAACATGCTGCAACATGAATGACAGTCTTTATTCAATCACATTCTGGCACGTGGAGATTTCCCCTCCTCCCAAGAAAAGAAAGGCTAAGGCTAACAGAAAAATGGAACACCTTAGGTGTTACAAAGCCATTACTCACAACTCTCCCCAATAGTTATTTTGCCCTTTTTGCCTCATTTTGGAGAATGATACAACCTCCCCCAAGAGATCACATTCCATCTTGCTGATTACCACAGATTCACACATGAAATTGCATGCTGACTCTTTTTTTTTTTTTTTTTTAACAATCAAGACAGATGTTTCTCATCCCCTCACTGAAAACAGCAAAGAGTGATTTCATAGCTCTTCTAAACATTAGCAGCCATCACCTTTTGCTTCAAGTGGTGGGCTGCTGGGAGAAATCATGATTAAAATCTCAGCAGGCAAATCACACCCATCAGTGGTAACAAAGTGATCATAATCATAGCCTTCTCATTACAGCATGGACTGAAAAAATGAATCGAGATATAAAGTTCAATAAGTGGTTCACATGTCAGAATGATACAGTATTTGGAAGCCTTCCCTGCAGAGGAGGCTCTTTGAGACTCAAATCATTGCCCCAGGCACCTGAGGAAACTAATCTGTGTTAGGAACCACTTGATTGTTACTCCCATCGAAGCTGAAGGTCACCAGTGTTCCCTGTGAGAAACCATACAACTGCAGATTGTGCCGTTCTCCCACAAGGAGCCCTCATTTGTTACAAAACCACCCCAAACTGACCCACAAGGCTTTATCCTCAAGGGCAACCAAGAGAAAATCTTCAAAATAAAATTCAATTTTCTATTGTACAGGAGACATTTCAGACCTGAAAAAGTATTTGAGTGCCTAACAACTTGCCTACTTTTTCTCCAGATGAAAAATACTGTCTCTTCCTTCAAACCCTGCCTTCTTACAGCCATTGACCTTCACAGCTACAGAAACATGAGCAACAGAGAGATAGATTCAAAAGAAAAACAAAGAAGAAAACAGCCTGGAGACTGGCTATACTTTCTATAGATAGACAAAACATGTATGAAGAATAATTTCTTATTTTGCTGCTCCCCAGGAAAAGAAGTGGTGAGCAACTGACAGACTTTGAGCTACACTGAATAGCAAATACTTTAGACTTGATTTTTGGGTGTGCAGAGCATCCACAATGCCTGATAAAATAATTGTAACCCTTCACCAGTTCCCACCTCAGTCTGGCATTTATTTGAAAAAGAACTAAACTTTATAGATAGGCCTTGAAATCCAGAGATTGTATGAAAAAAAGCAATGCACTCAAAAATGGAGGCTTAAATCACCTGAATATGTAGCCTTATTTTCATGAAACTCAGCCAGCAGCCCTGACTGTAACAGTGTGTGTTGAGAGTCGATGACACAGCTACTTTATGTGTTTTGAAAACCTCCCGGCTGAACCTGCCTGTAGGTGTATTGTTTTAACCTCTTCCCCAAATTACCTGGAAATCTTTGAACAAAAGATGCAATGAAGCATTTCATGTGTCATGAACAGTCACTGCTTAGACAGCTACAAGGTGTTCCTCCTCGTGTTTTAACCCTCTGCCTGCTGTCTGGCCGCAGCCATGTGTACGAGCAGGTGTCAGATACAGCTGTGTATGACCAGCCATGGCATACCAAGAAATCACTTGTACTCCACTTGGCAATGCTACCAAACTAGAGTGAATCGGAGTGTCCCACTGTGTCCTCCAGCACAGGCGGAGAAGAGTGTATGCATGTCTCCTCCAGCAATTAAAATTTCGAAGGGAAAGCAGCCAAGTGTAGCAGACAGAGGTTAAAAGCTGTAGGTGGAAGTCATGAACTGGTAGATTGGATGGAGGTGGTTCTCTATTCTTTGCACATTCCCCAAGTTAGTATGTTTTGCCATCCAATATAAGTCCTTCTACTACATTAGCATCCTATGATCTCCACTGATCTTTCTCTACATCTTAGATGCCTCGTTCCTGAGTCTTAAAATGAGAATCTGAAGAATTCACAGAAAATCCTTCACTTTTAGTAAAAGTAATTGGACCATGAAAGAATTCTCCAAGAGCCTCTTACTCTCTTTACAAGAGGATTTATCTCAGGGAACACAGGAGCAGTGGGCAAATCAAGGGCTAAACCTGGAGCTGACAGAGCTCAGCCCAGCTCCTCTGATTTAATTAATACAATCTGTATATGAGCCGAGGAGCTGCTCCTAACTGTGTGGAACAGAGCAAATGTTTGCAAGCAAAATAATAAATTTTAGGGTGAGCACAACAAATGATGCAAGGCCATCTTTTACAACCATTCTTGTAATATAGCAGAACATTAGCTACAGAAATTAGCAGTCATCAGTCAAAATAAAAATGTGACTGTATTAGGCTTTGTTAATCTTCATTAGTCTCTAAACACAGTATGAAAACAGCACTTGCAGGTACAAACTCAAGTCTTTGATTAAACACAGTTACGTATTTCAGAAATAAAAACTCAAAGCTGACTCCCACTATTCCTGTGGGCTTTTTAGCAAATAGAAATATCCTGGAAAGAAGTACTGAACTGTGTTTTCTCACAAAATGAATGAACGTACAGACAGGCGGAGGACCTTGCCCTGAATTCCCTGTGCTTAGATTATTTGCCCAAAAACTGATGAACACCTTCTGGTGCTGAGATTTTCAAAGCCGAGCAGTGAACCTGCCCCAGAGCCTCCCACTGATGTTAACAAAAAGACTGTAGTGAAAATGCCTGGATGGGTTTCAGAACTTCAAACAATACTTCTCTGAGCAAAGATTCACTTGCAAAGACTCTGGTTGAGAATTTAAAATACATTTTCTTTGCTGTGGAAATTGTCCAAGCTACATCAAAATCAGTGAAAATATAAAAATCCCATTTACTCAAGATCTGTCCTTTCGCATTTAAGGTTAGAACATTCTATTCATAATCATTCTAATCATTAGCGATTCTGACTGCTCATAACTCCTGTTAAAGTCAGATGAAACTTTCAATCTCTGCAGAATACTTCTGTGATCAAGGATCAGCCAAACCACCCCTAAACAGCAAAACTGAGAGAACAAGGGTGCACAAAATCTGGGTTAGCTAAAACACCAGCCTGCGTTCCCAACCATTTGGCAGGCAGACGCTTTGGAGCTGTGACATGCAGGGCAGCTGACGTGGCTCATCTAGTTGCTTTACATCACACCCATTCTTCTCATGTTTGCTGATATGAACTTTTTGCCTTTCCCTTCAACACTTCAGAGAAAAGTACAGCAGCAGCTGCTGCATTCAGCACGGCCAGCAGCGTCGTGTAACTAATACACCCATTTGATCCTAGAGGACAGCTTTATCTAGCACCATGCCATGGTGACAGAGTTCTACTCCTTTCAAACCCCTGGAAAATCCTAACTCTGTGCTAGCCACAGACAACTGCTGAATGCCAGTAGCAAACCCCTCTACATAGCACTTGGTGTTTGATGTCCTACCTTGTCCAGGTGTGTCCTCACAGCAAAGGATGATTGTTCTGCTGGCAGCAATGCCTGCTGCTTATAAATAGTATATATGTTATCTCTACCTATGTGTGTATTTATGTGCATGCATGCGTGTGTGTTTATATATGTCTTGCCTGCATGACCCCAAGAGCTAGTCCTAACCTATCAAGCACTGTGCTAGAAGCAGGAGGCGGGGAAAAAAAGCATATTGAGTAATGCCAGGAACTTTCTGAAGAGCCCAATGCAAAATATTCCACAGAAGACATGAAAAAACAGGTCAGCCCATCATGTGGACTACTGTTTGACTCACCCATCACTTCAGTAGAAGGCAGCTTCCTTGTTTAGTTAGCCATTTTGTTATTCAAAGCACAAAACTCCACATCTCTCCATATATCACTGATAAGGTAGAACAGGAAGATGTGTTCAACTGCGTCTTAATACATTTTAACAGGATCTCTGCTTTCAGGTAAGAAAAGTCTCAGAAAGAAAATACCGTCAAAACCCCTACATTTTCTCAGAACAGATTGGGCCATGGCAGTCTCCCCACTTTGTTAATCACTAAATCATAACAATTTCTAACAAGAACATTTACGTAAGTCTGAAGGAAGTATACATTTTATTACAGAGACAGTCAAAACCATCCAAGGATGGATGACAGGAGAAACCTCCAAGCTTCTGCACTGCACGAATGGCGAAGGGCTCAGAGGATTTCTTTCCGGCATTATTACAGCCATCACATGGCTCAGGTCCCCTGTGTGCAATACAACATACTTTCTTTGTCATACAAATTTAAGGAGTGAACTCTCCAGAGGCAAGCATGCTTCCCAGTCAACCATATATACATTATGCAACCCCACATGCAATGGACCCGAGGGAACTGGCAATGAAATGGCTAAGCCACTATCCATCATACTTGAGAAGTCGTGGCAGTCCAGTGAAGTTCCTGCTGACTGGAAAAGGGGAAACATAACCCCCATTTTTATAAAGGGAAATAAAGAGGACCCAGGGAATTACAGGCCAGCCAGTCTCACCTCTGTGCCCAGCAAGATCATGGAGTGGATCCTCCTGGAAAATATGCTAAAGCACATGGAAAATAAGGAGGTGATTGGTGACAGCCAGCATGGCT